TGTGTGTGTGTTTGTGTTTGTGTGTGTGTGTGTGTGTACTGGTTTATATATCCTGGTGGGGACTTAAACCTGACTACACACAGACTCATGGGGACTCGTGTCACGGTGGGGACCTAAATTGTGGTCCCCACGGGTACAAAAGCTTATAAATCATACAGAATGAAGTTTTTTGAAAATCTAAAAATGCAGAAAGTTTCCTGTGAGGGGTAGGTTTAGGTGTAGGGTTGGTGTAGGGCAATAGAATATACGGTCTGTACAGTTGAAAAACCATTACGCCTATGGGATGTCCCCACAAGGATAGCTGACCAGACTGTGTGTGTGTGTGTGTGTGTGCGCGCGCGCATTTGCGTTTGTGTGTGTGTGTGTGTGTCTAGCCAAAATTCAGCTCCTGAACAGTATCAATGTTTTTATACTGTCTTCCTAATTAATTACACAGACTTCCCAAAGTCATAATTTGAAACCAACAGAAGGTGATTTTGACTTCTATTTATTAATAATTGCTTTTTTTGTAATGAAACATATATAAACTGAAAGCTGTGACTATATTTCATAAAGCCCTGGTAAAGCATGTTTGTTACTGAGTATATATCGGTGCGCAAAGCTTTGCAGAATGACCACTTGGCAACAGCACTGACTGTGACAGAGCTGCTGGTGGGAGCGGTAATTAAAAATCATGGGGACGAGAAGCAGCTGTGAACATGAGTTCACACACACACACACACACACAGATGCAGTGCACTAAAGGCACAGATGCCAAATGGATTCTTAATGATCAGACTACGACGTCACCCCTATTTACCACGAAACTGTTGAGTGAGCAGTAATGATCAGAGCTGTATGTTCTTTAACGAGCAGACAGTGTATGGTTTCAAAGAGAGTAACACTAAATGCTTTATGACATGGAAATACTGAAAATGTTCTATTATTATATTTTTTAAACTGATGGTTACAGTCCTACATTGGTAGGAACCAAACCATCCGTTGGTAGCGCTTACTATAAAAATATGCTATGTATATTTCTTACAGAAATTAGATTAAGCTAAATAATCTCTCTCTCTCTCATTCTCTCTCTCTCTATACACACACACACACACACACATATACGGGGGGGGCAATCCTGCTCCTGGAGGGCCACTGTCCTGCAGATAGTGACCATATCAGCCATATCAGAGAAACAGCCATAGTGGATGTGAGATCAATGAATACACAACAACACACACTCTCACACCCTCCAAACACATCGATGCCTTGATGCTGTAATGCACACAATCATATATTCATCAAAACAACCAGACACAAAGACATTCACATACACAAAAGACATTTACACATATACTCAGATTCACCCACTGCAACCAACAAAAAGGATCAAACAAGTTATTTTTGAGACTTCAAATCATCTTACTTTGTTTATACATTCGTATTGCATTGTCCATTCTTACAGTATAGTTATTTTCAAAATCTTCAACATATAGTTCAACTCTATACACAAACTATACTTCATAAGTATGGTCAAAATATGGGGATTTTTATGTTGTTTCAGTCCTGGAGTCCATTGTAGTGGACATGAAAAAAAAATCTAATAATGAAAAGAGTTGACACAAATCTTGTTTTTTAGACTCATTTCTATATTGGAGAAGAGCAAATATAAAGTTGATAAAAAAATAAAAATAAATAGTACTGTGGGGAAAAAAATCCGGTCTGAAAGGGTTAAATGGTTTTGAGTACTTTTCAATAGGTTTTATTTTTAGGTTGTGATCAATAAGAAGGAGTATTTAGTGGAGTATTTAGCTTAAGTGTTGCAGTTAATGTAGCTCTGAGAAAGAGTGAGATATTCAAGTGCGCGATTTTCTCTTTGTCTCTTGTGCCAATAAGCTTGCAAAGCCCTTTGGGAAGGTGTATTGAGTGGGAAAGAGCCCTTCTGGAAGGATTCATTAATATTCACAATTCCTTACTGTTGAGACTATATTTACAAGAGTTTTGCTAATAATGACAACACACCTGCTTTTAATTCAGTTTATTGAACAAAATATCTTACAATGTCTTGGATATACATATATACAAATATTACATTATGATAAAACTTCACTCTGTCCTCAGTCTTGACAACCACCATTCAATGCACTTGAATGTGTTAAGAAAATGTCAAATACACATCACCAGTTTCCAAAAATCTAAATATAGAAATCACAAAAAATAAGACTTTCACCCAGAAAGACATACTTAACGGTCAGCACAAGAAATCTTAACTGTAAAAAAAAAAACACAATTATACAATTTTTGCAGTTTTAAAGCAGGTATGAAATATACCTGAATTAACCTCCCTCAAAAGGTATTATAATGTGCTGTTCCATGCAAGAGCGAGAAACCCTTTCAGACACAGAACAAATATATGAAACAGTGGCTCTGATCCTGGTGACTTCCTGTCATCAGCAGTGCTCTCAGATAACATAGACATCTGTCTTCTCTCCCAGAAGCCAATACGTTCTCATTTTGCCTTTACCCTAAAAGAGAGGAACAACACCAATCAATAGCATGCATCAATGAGCACTCAAACAGCTCGCTGGAGGAACTAATCAATAAAGCAATATGCTCTTTCTTAATTAAAAAAGACTAAAGAATTCTGCAAAGACAGGTGGTGGAAATTGGACCTCTATGGTGATCCAGGCATTTTAAGTCTCAGATTGGCATGAAAGGCCAACATCAATAAATCATGTTCAGATTTCACAGGATTTATGTAGCATTGCATGAAGCAGATATCTGAAAATCTGAAAGTGATGGGAACAGATTATCTATCGTTTTGGTGGAAAAAATATTGCCTAATACCTAAAGGATTTTGTACAGAATTTCTATTGAAAGCATAGTATGGAGCAAATCGTCAAGGATTCAAATAGAATTGATTAAAAATCTTCTAAGGAATTGAAATTAAAATACTGCAGTCATTGGATAGTGTTTAATAGTAATCATAATTCTATTTGAGTTTTAAAATCATTAAAGATTGTGCTATAAAATGCTCAAATGCTCTAAATCTGTGTGTGTGTGTGTGTGTGTGTTGTGTGTGTGTGTGTGTGTGTGTGTGTGTGTTATGTTATGTTGGTAAACAAAAATTACCATTCTGATTATTTAGGAATTCGGTAAAGGAGATTAGAAGAAAGAATTCCTTTAAAGAAAATTAGACAACACTTTATAATAAGTATTCACTAATAAAGTACTTACAATTCATTTGCAAACTATTCGTTTATAGTTAATTCATAGTTTATAGATGCTATACAAACAGTGAGTTCTTCATTCATCATCACTGAAATGAACCAAATTCTTATTGTTTAATTAGCTCATGTGTAAAGAGTTAGATGATGCTTTGTTAACAACTTATTAATCATAGATAGTTCTCACTTTAGATTAGGTCACGGAATATGGGAAAATTCATTAAGTGCTTTAAACCAACCTTTGCTTTTACATACAGTATAACTGTATAACTGTATAATAACTGTATATTCTGTCCTGTAACCCTAAACCTACCCATCACGGAAAACTAGAGAGAGAGAGAGAGAGAGAGAGAGAGAGAGTTTTCTGTAAGGGGTAGGTTTAGGGGATAGAATACACAGTTTGTACAGTATAAAAACCATTACACCTATGAAGAGTCCCTGTAAACCTCATATGCCAATATGTGTGTGTGTGTGTGTGTGTCCTTAATGTATGTGTAATCATTTTAAGGGATGGTGAATATGAATGCAATTAATGATCAATGAAGGTTGGTTTAAAGCACTTAATTAATGACATTTTCCCATTTTCCGTGACCTAATTTAAAGTGAGAACCATTTATTCCTTATTACCAATCACAAACAAATATATATTTAAAATAATTTATGAAAAAATATTTCTCTCACATTTATACATGGTTTATCATTTCAGAAAGCAAGCGCAAGTGAAACTTCATACCTTCATCTCCACGTCTCCTCGCAGCTGGAGTTCGAAATAGCCAAACTCATCCAGTACCTCTTTGGTGGCTGAAGACATATGTATCCTCAGAGCTGTGGAGGAAATGATAATCATTAATAATTAATAGTCAACCTTAAGATGAAAACTCATCATTTACTCGACCTCAAGGTTTTTTTCTTCTTCTGTTTTTCTTCTGTTAATCAATATTTAAAAAAAATATCATTCACATTTGCACATATTTAAACTAAAAGTATTTTAGTGCCATAGATGTCAAACCTAGCATAACATATCTCAACGTGCCAAGTTTGAATATGTGCAAGCATAATGAGATTTGAGGAGATATGTGGGAAGATTTTCAATTAATAATATCTTCAATTTCACCACACAAACTATTGCATGATTTCAGAAGACTGTATGGATTACAGTATGATACCCTTATGTCTTGGTCACTGTATGCTGTCGCTGTACAGGAAAATCTCCCTATTCACTAGTACAAAGTCGTATGGGTTTGAAATGAAATGAGGGTGAGCAAAAGAATTTCATTTCTGAGTGAACTATCCCTTTAAGAGTCACAGCCAATCAGTATAAGTGCACAGCTGTGAGTGAGATGACACCTTCATAAAATATGATTCACCACATATAAGAACAACAACAGACACACTACACATATGGGTCAATGAGCAATCTGTCCTGGCTATAGGAGGAACAACATACTGCACTTAAAGGTGCAATAGGTGATTGTCTTCAGAAAATTTTTTTGTTATGCTGGTTGAAAGTCTCTTCACATCCCGATAGCAATCATTAAGTTAAGTGGTCTAAATGTATTTATCTGTATTTATACATTCATTCACGGATTTGCGCTGCGCAGCGTCTTCACACACATCACACTCACACACACACGTCTTCACATCCAGTGCGAGGACTGGAATTGAGAACTGCTGATGTAGCCTATTGTAGTAATGTTGTCTCTGGTATTCTGGTACTTCTGTGAGCGTATATGCGTTCAGGGGCGTGGCTTTGGACGGCGATTGCAGGGAGGGTGGAACGTTGGCTTTCATGCTATCAGGCTAAAGTTAGCATTTTCCAAGATCTCCTACTGCACCTTTAATCTGAGAGGCTCCATGTGGTGTGGGCTCCTAAGTGTGCATTAAGCTGTAACAAACTGCAAACATATTATTACATGCTATAAATCTAACCGGATATTGGATACTGGGTCCTTGTCACTAATTATTAATTATTAATAAAGCCCACCTCAGGAAGTGGACTGTGAGTCGATACTTGTGGTAAGTCTCATGAACAACAGCTGTTACTTGTGAACTGGTGAAATGCATGTTAGGCATCATTATGATGGTATGAAGAGATGGATTAATTCATGTAGGACGCCACTGAAGGCGTGGGTGTAAAATGCACGGCCCGCCACTGTTAAAAGTATACAATGCTACTGAGCAGCTTTGTTTCAAACCCTAGTGAGCTGCCTCGCTGTCTGCTGTCCACATAAGCAGCTACCTTCTAAGGTACATATTTTAAAATGTAATTATTCATGTGATGGCAAAGCTGAATTTTTAGCATTACTCCAGTCTTCAGTGTCACATAATCCTTTAGAATATGCTGATTTGGTGCTCAAGAAACTTTTCTTATTATAATCAATGTTGAAATCAGGTGTGCTGCAGGTGTGTTGCCAGGTGTGATTATTTTTTTCAGGATTCTTTGATGAATAGAAGGTTCAACTGCATTTATTAGAATTTTTTGTAACATAATAAATTTCTTTACTGTCACTTTTGATCAATTTAATGCATCCTTGCTGAACAAAAGTATTTTAAGTAAAAAAAAAAATAAAAATGTAACCAATAGTATCAAAATCACAAAACCAAGATGTAGTTAACTTAGTATCATGCTGCATTGTCATGGTGTGGAAAAAATTCTGCATTCTGAACAAAGATCAAAAACATATTTCTGTCACCAACCTTCCCCTGTAGACTCCATGCGGGATGCCGTGTTGACAGTATCTCCGAATAAACAGTACCGGGGCATCTTAAGACCCACTACACCAGCACAGACAGGGCCTGCTCAACACACACACACACACACACATGCAGCAGAGAGGGAGATTAAGTCACTATTGGAATCCTGTAACTGCTTATACACTGTCCTAATACCTCCTGACAGGTTGAAAAAAATCAACTGAACAAAAGCAACAGGCTGCAATCAGATCACATGTACTGAATATGACATTCTCCATTTCTGTCACCGATGGAGTTTTGGTTCCTTGCCACTGTCGCCTTTGGCTTGCTTAGTTGGGGATGCTTGACTGATTGCACTGACACTATTGGAAGAGAGCTGAACTGGATGATGACATCACTGAATCATCAATGAACGGACTTTAGCTGCAAAAATGACACTTTGTTATTGTCTAATTGCATTATTGACAAACTAATTTCCTGTTTGACACGGTAAAGCTGCTTTGACACAACCAGTATTGTATAAAGCGCTATAGAAATAAAGGTGACTTGACTTGATAAGCACCTTACATCTCAGCTGCACTTCTACTATATATAAGAGATGCAAACAGATACTCCAATGGAAACAGTAACAGTGATACTAACACCCAAAAAACTTTAATTTTGATTTCATGGGGACTTTAAAACCTGATAATCTCACGTGAGTTTTAGAGGTTCTTAAACCGTGTTTAGATTTGCCAAGATAATAATGTCTACAATTAAATTCAATATGAATGCCAGCAATTCTCATAAAAAAGACCAAATATAGGAGCTATCAGCTTCATTTTAGGGATTTATACCCTTGATAAATGTCAACAACTGTCTACATTTTTAGGCTTTTCAATTTTAAGGTTTCATGTTTTATATATTTTATATTTGATTTTATATTTTTAGGAGAAAAATCTGAGACAAAGTTGACAGCAACCTCTAAACATTTGCCTTTATTATCCACAATCATTGCTTGGCCTTAACTTGCCATGGTTTTCTCAACACTAATAAACACTTCAAAGGCCTAAAATGCCTAAAATGAATGAATATTAATAATGGAATCTGTGAAACAGTAACGATACCTGTGTGGATTCCTATTCGCAATCGTAGCTGATCGTTGGGTCTGTGTCTGATTTTGAAGGTTTTAACCTGTTCCAGTAAAGCCAGTGACATGCTGGCTATCTCACGTGCGTGTAGCTTCCCATTCCTCACAGGCAGACCTGAGACCACCATGTATGCATCACCGATTGTCTCCACCTGCCATCAGGAAAAAGTAAAGAATTTGTTTCAATTTTAAGCCATCAAATAATCTGATTAAAGTTTAAATAATTTCAGAAACACTAATATGCTGATTTCAAAATCACATTCTATGAAATCTATAGATACTGTATAATAACTAATTGTAATACAATTACTTATGAAAAGATACAAAGATTGCACTGCCTATTAAAAGACACTTACCTTATATACATCAAAATTATCAATGATGGCATCAAAGCATGTGTAGAGATCATTCAGCAGTGTCACCACCTGAACAGAGTAACAGGACACTGTTAAGTTAAGGAAGGTGATCTTAAAGTTCATTTTGTAGCTTACACTGTCCAGGATTTATGATTATAACGCCATCTTGTTCACATTTTTGTATTTGAGGTTTGCTGTCACTTTTGCTGCAGTAGTTCTGTGTTGTTCGGACACAATCATTCTTATTGTTCGTCAGTCCCTATCATTTACTTTCAGTTTTCGCCTACTGTTCTTCTTTGCAGATGAAGTCTTGCCATGCTTTGTTCACATAGTCAAAATTTTAAAGATTGTTCTTAAAAACAAACAAACAATTGGCCTGTTATGGTTACAGATACTCTTTCTAAATAGGCTCCCTTGATTTGCCCTTTTTGGATGCTTGGCAAGGCATCTATTTCACAGAGCACTTCTCTCACAGAGTGCATGCTCCTTTAAATTCAGAGTAATTTGAGGAAATACACTTGACAAATTTGCTCTGTTGCTCTGTTCAGTTCATTCTCTCCGAAATTCATTAGTTTGACTATATTCAGATGAGACTTCCTCTGATTCTAGAGATTTTTTTTTCTTTGCAGCTTTTTAGGTGTGATGAGAACCTGACAGAAATAGTTCTACATCTGTGCCCCAGAAGAAGAAAAAATCAGTTCAAACAGAATGTATAATAAAGTCTATTGTGTCTGCAGCTCTGCCATGTCTCATAGAGGTTAAGCGAGATATGACTGCTGTGATGTGTTTCTGCTTGAACTCCCAATGGTTCCCTCAAATTAAAATACCTTCTCCCCCCATCCAATCCCTGGATTTATGCCCAGAAAGAGGCCTTACAGAGAAACATATTTGCATACATACAGCAGAAAATATGACAAAATTAACCATGGAGGCCAACTTCCTTATGAAGTTGTCATGCTATAAGCTTAACCACTGAAACATTTTTATATGTATATATTTGAACAGCTGTTGAACTGCATTGTGATCCAAACACCATGATGTGGCTCAGTTTAGTTGTCTGCATTTGGTCTAATTTCTGAGTAACTTTCCAAACTCAGTTGGTCTATGAGTTCAGATGAGAAGTATACAAAAATCTGCAACAATGGCCTCAGATGTCTCATAATTTAAAGAAGCACACAACTTTTTCAACTGTAAAGTTTTAGGCCTGAATCTAACCTCTCACACTGATTCCAGAAACCATGTTTTAGGCAAAATAGTATCAAAGTATATTTCAAGATTTATTACATGGGAGATGAAGGGTGACTTGTCTTTACATTTGCAAATTAAATTGAAAACTCTTCTTTACACAACATTATGGATGTCTGGCACAGAATTTATTATTACATGAGCATCAAGTGAGAACTGTATGACCATCTTGGGGCAAAACTTCAGAAAGTGATCATCATGTCAAAATACATGGTGTAGCGTCTGCTTAAAATCATGGATGATCATTGGGGTTTTATGTCTTTAGAGACCCCTCTTAGCCTTTTGACATTTGCATATAAATTACAGTCCTGGCCCCAGATTCTACATTTATATGGGTGCTAAATTGCCAATGGTTCCCCCCACTATCAAGGAGATGGAGCTCCCTGATCCGCCCTGGAGGCCTCCCATGTCTCCGTCCTGTACTAGCCTCCAGGGCGCCCACCCACCCCTCCCCGGTGGAATTGTTACGGCGCGGGACGCGTCTTCCGGGAGGGGGGAGTAATGTCAGTGTTGTGGACTTGTGTTTCCTTGTTTTACCCCTGTCTTAGTTCCTGTTTTCCTTTTTTAGTCATGTTTCCTGTTTCTGTCCTCATTGTATTCATTTGTATCCAGCTGTGTCTGATTAATTATCTCATTTGCCCCTAGCATTTAAACCCTGTGTTTCCCTGAGTCTGTGTCGGCTGTTATATATGTCATTCCTGAGTTCCTGTGTTGGTAAACCTTTGTTTGTTGGAATAAAATCTAAATCGAAGAATTCTCCTGTGTCTTCTCATTCCTTCCCCAGTGAATCGTGACACTGACATTGTGAAGTTTAGATATGTTTCTTGCAATAGAAATGATGTGCAGTGCTTGCATAATCATAAATTTCCTTGAATTGATAAATGATTATATTGTCTGCTCGGTGGACGAACAGATCAAATAATTGTAATCTTGATTCTGCTACAGTTAATTCTAAGATCTAATCGAAATATTTATTATTAATTATAACCAGTTATAATTCATTATAAATATTTCCCTTTTGAGCTAATTTGCTACAATGGGAATGAGAGGAAAGGAATGCCTTTTCTGTGGCTCAGACCAAAAAAGAAAACTGCAGTCTATATCTCTGACTGTCAGTGTTGTGGACTTGTGTTTCCTTGTTTTACCCCTGTCTTAGTTCCTGTTTTCCTTTTTTGGTCATGTTTCCTGTTTCTGTCCTCATTGTATTCATTTGTATCCAGCTGTGTCTGATTAATTATCTCATTTGCCCTTAGCATTTAAACCCTGTGTTTCCCTGAGTCTGTGGCAGCTGTTATATATGTCATTCCTGAGTTCCTGTGTTGGTAAACCTTTGTTTGTTGGAATAAAATCTAAATCGAAGAATTCTCCTACGTCTTCTCATTCCTTCCCCAGTGAATCGTGACACTGACATTGTGAAGTTTAGATATGTTTCTTGCAATAGAAATGATGTGCAGTGCTTGCATAATCATAAAATAGTGTAGGATAGTCCCTTACTAAATATAGTTGTTCACTTCAACCACAGATAAACAGAGCAGACAAAATATGAAATATGTGCATTAATCATTCATTTAATTGTTTTTGCTGAGTAAACATTCAGTGAAATATGCCAGATCATGGTAGTCTATCTTCCACAATCTAACATATATATATATATATATATATATATATATATATAAAATATAATTTTTTATAATATTATATTTTATAATATAATAATTTCACTAGCAGATTCTTTCAGTCATTGTAAGCATATGTAAACATATTTTTGCCTTTTTGTTTTCATATTGAAATATGTTAATATATTTTACATTATTATAAAATACTATAGCATAATTTCCGGAATTGTTATTTTGCAAATGTTATTTTTTTAATCATCTGAAACTAGCTGCGACTTACAAAGCACAGAGTTTATTTGCACAGCACATTTCCCATACTCCAGTAGTTTCAGTTTCACTTTAAATAAATTTGTTTTGGCTTGCTGTTATAATACATGTTTATAATGAATGGCAATATAATATATTTGCTTTCTACTGTATTTTTCATTCTTGTTTGAGTGAAGGGAAATAAAATACTAAAAATGTTTATGATGTTTGTAAATGTTTCAATTTATTTATTGGTATTTTACATTATTTCTGAATGTAATAATAAAAGGTGAAATTTTATTGTTACATTACTTTTTATTGTGACTATTTATTTATTTATTTGTTATATTTTTGCACATGCAATTTTGACCCTGTGTTTCTTATTTTCTGGAAAATGTGGTAATAAATATAATATAATATAATATAATAATGCACTGTAAAAAAATGTGAATGTTTGTGAAATGTATGGTAAAAAAAAAAACGGCATAGAAATAACTAAGAGACAATTATTTCAGTATTTCTGGGAATGTCTATTTGTGGTTTTTCACTGTAAATTATACAATAAATTGTTCTTTTTCACTTCTAAAAACCATACATTTAACAGTATTTTACTGTAAAACTACAATAAATGTAAGGTTGGATCAGTTATTCACCATATAGAGTACGGAAACTCACTGTAACCAATTAACAGGTTTTTACCATAGCATTAAAATCACAATAATATTTTACAGCGTATAATATAATATAATATATTGATTTTTATTAGTTTCCCATTGAAGATACATTGAAAATCAAGGATTCAAAATCTAATTTAAACCTAGAAATAATCTGAAAGTTTTAAGATGATTCAAAATGAATGTGCTGACCTGTAATGGTGTACTCTCAGCAGACATTGATGTGAAGCCCACTATGTCACTGAAATAGATGGTGACACTATCAAAGGCTTCTGCCTGTACAGTCTCCCCACGCTTGAGCTGCTCCGCCACTGAACTGTGAGAAGAATTAGGTTATGATGTGAACCATTAAATTATTTTCCATACACAAGTCCAAACACAATAGCAGACATGTAGCAGCAAACTATCAGTTATTTTAACAATTCATAGTTGAACACAGAAAATAATTTCATTTAATAAATCCTTATCTAAACACTAAAGAAAGGTATAAACAAATTGAAAATGAATTTACAGCATTTCGAAATATGGGAGCTTAGTACAGCAGCTTTTCCTTAATAAGACCCAAGATCACTTTTGAGATCAATTATGATAATTTAAGAATGAGCTTTAATTAAAGAATGAATGAGCTTAGTTAATTCCTAGCTATATCCTTAGAGGGTTTAGTACTCTATAATTAGTCAGCTTGTCTGCTTCATCTTAAGCCAATCTTAAAAGTTCTCACCACTTACATAATTATGTGAAAAACAGACTATTCTAAAAAAATAATAAGCCATTTTTAGATGAGATAAAAAAAAAATACGGTAGAAGTTACGTCACATGCAAGTTATCTAGTAATAAGAGAACTCTTGAAATAATAGCTATCCCTTCCTCAATCTCCAATTAAAAGTTTGGAAACTGCATTGGAAATATTACACAACACATTTCTTACTGTGGAAGGATTTGGTAAAGAAGATTTTCAGCTTTCCGTTTCTCCTCGAGGTAGGCCTGTGTTCGCTCCTCTACTAGGTTCTCCAGGTTATTGGCATATTGTTCCATTCTGGACAGCAAGTTATTGAGAATACTGGTGCTGCCTTCTCTGTTGAGAAAAAAAAATACATTAGACACCTGCTTCTTACATGATGTGTAATTACACAGATATATATGATTATAATTACAGCAGACAGATTACAGTAGAAGATTACAATTATGTGAAATCAGATTGCAGCATATTATAAAAAAGTATGAAAATGGCACTGAAAGTAGGAAACAGGAATATGTACTCAGTTCTGCAGTTAAGAGCTATAATGCAGTGTACTTCATAAGGAATATAGCATTGTTGCATCTGATGAGGCGGTGAAATGCAGCACTTATGATGAAGTGTGGTCGATTCTGGTTGAATCGTGCTGCTGGTGTGTGGTTTGCTGAATCATATTGTTCTATTTAGGGGTCAGAGCTCACTCCTACATACAGACCTGCAGGGCTACATTCATTTAATGAGCCACACTTCTCAATGCTTGAATTTTTTAAGTTTAACTTTTGGCAAATGAAAATGGGTTTCTGTGAGCTTAAAGTGCCCTTATCATGCCATTTTTTAAGGTTGCTAATATTGTTTTACGAGTCTCCTAAAACAGGTTTACATGCATGCAAGGTCAAAAAACATGTTAGTTTTCTCAAAAAATAGATTTAATTTTACCTCATTTCTAAATGATTTGTAAACGACTCGTGCGAAGCATCTTCTCGACATGATGTTAACCACACGGAAATTTTACTGTTTGTGGGCGGGCAAGTTGGTGACGTAGAACATAGGCAGACATTATGCAGATGTGTTACTTCATGACGTAGAGCCGTAACAGAATAAGATTCGAATTCCTGACGACTCATTTAGGCGATTGCGAGCCGACTCTTTTTTTTTTGATAGACAATAACTTTATTTATCGTGCACTGTCGGCTTCACAACTTTGCAGATAGTTTATGTTCACATACAGCTACATGACACACTGCATGAAAGGTAATATTCGAAAAGGCATAATAGGGGCACTTTAAAATATTTAACTATAACATACAATCACAATACTAATAAAACGTTTTACACCATTTTAAAACTTCACTCTGCGTGCATATATTTTAGAAACACAGTAAACTATTTCAAACTAGTTGAATATAAAAACTTTTTGCAATCTCATATCCATATGGATAAATGATATTACTACCCCCTGAAGCATGGCTTTGAACATTTCTTACCAAACTAAAATATTTACCAAACCAAATTGTTATTACCCATTTGAATTAAAATAACTATTTTCTCCACTGGCAATACCAGTAACCCAGATGAGTACAAGGATGAGCTTTTAATATTACCTTTATTTAATTTATGTTGACCTCTCAGTACCTTTAGTATGCTGAAAGATGCTGCTACTAATATTACTGCATCACCTGCTTAAAGAAAAATCTGCCCAGGCTATTGATTTAAATAAAGGTAAAAGAATATTTATACAAGTCTCCTAATATTACATACATATTTTAGCTACAGTGCATAAAGTGTAAGCATCGGTGACAGTTATGTTCTGTTTTATGGACTTTTAGTTTCTTTTGACCTGGTTTTCCTGTGTTTTCTTCTATCCCCTTGTTCCCACTTCCATTTGATGCAATGGACACCGATTTTGTTGTGCACTTGCTCTGTGAAATGCCACCATGACAGCACTGGAACGGCATTGAGATTAGATGTAATTTATAGCAGTTCTCCTGCAGGTGACTGCACAAGTCTGTCTCCTTACAATGCACTTTAGTAATTTACAATTACTCCAGAGCACTTGATCTACAACGATTCTCAGGTACTGCTTAAGGTACTATGCTTTTGTGAAACAGCCTGCAATTTTAAGTTGGCCTGTACAATCAGTTCTGTGATCTGCTTATAGCTCAAGCCGCTTCTGGGAAATGCTGCCGTGGTTTATACTTAGATATCTGATTTTTTTTAAACATTGACCAATCACCAACATGTCTAAATGTGTCAACAAGATGCATTTATATAATGAAGACTGGGCTTTAAGGTCCTCTTTTACATTCCAGGCATTTTAGTGATACTTTGTCAATGTCTGTCAAGTGCCCCTTTGGGGAATTAACCATAAAGCTTTCACTCACATCAATAAAGGCTGTTTATCAATGAGCTGTCAGCTCTAGGACAGATGCTACATTCTGTTCAAAGATACAATGTTGCTGCTACTTCTTGTAAATATAACAGATCTACAGTAAGTGTGCAGCGCTTACTTGTTCAATTTTGCAATAAAGATCTTGATGTGGCTGAAGTCAGGCCGTTCTGCAGGGTCTTCAGCCCAACAGCCTTCCATTAAGATGGTCAGCTCCTCACAGTGCCGGCTGTTATCTGTGGTAGGCCTGAAGTACGGCTTCTGGCCATTCCGCACCTTCTGGATTATCTCTGTAACCAAACCAAACCAAACACTTGTCAGTGGTGTTCAACAACTCAGTTTAAATGTATTTGATCTTTGGGGCTGTTACCTTTGGGACTGAGATCCATGCCTTCAACATAAAATGGGCCGTTCCTTAGTGCTATCTCCTGTAGTATGATCCCAAAACTGTACACATCTCCTTTCTGGGTTCCTTGGGGTGGATGCCTATCATATATCAGCAACTCTGGGGCCGTCCATAGCTTTTCTGAAAAATCCATTAGGTAAGCAGTCACTAAATATGGTCACATTAGGGATTTAATCAGCAAAAGTCAACTGATGTTTCATGCATCAAAACAGAAAACCTTCACAGATTCTTACTTGCGTACAGTGCATGTGAGTCTTCATTTTCACAAGACGAACGGAAGCTTGCCAGACCATAATCTGTGATTTTCAAAACGAAGCGGCTATCCACCACACAATTCGATGATTTCAGATTGCCATGGGAGCCAATGTAACTGTTGTGCAGATAATTCATTCCCTGGCAGCACAAGCATTAAACAAAACATTATGTCTTTACGCACAGTTTATGGGGCAGAATGGAGCAGAATACACATTATAATTACTTTTGGAAGACATAAAACAGAAATAAAGATTAAAGGTTATTGTCTTTCCCATTAAACAGCAACTGTATTTAATTTAATACATATATAAAAATATTGTATATATTTAATACTCAGGAGCAACAACTTAAGGCAATTATATCTGTCAGCCATAAATTCAGGTGGCCTTGGCCTACTAAATTCAGACAAGTGCTATTTTTAAATCAAACAATGCTTTTAAAACATTTTTTCCATCTTAAAAGCAAAAGCAATGTTTTGTGCATTTAAGTGACAAGTGCATTTAATTTTCCAGCAAACACCAAATGCTTTTATGTGCCTGGGCTCTCTACCTTTGACACTGAACAGAAGATTGGTTTACTTTAATGGAGGGAGAATTTAGAGAGAAATTATTTTCATACATCTTTTCCAAAAACAATGTCATGCTATCTTTGACGCCAGGCCATTTTCTTTTACTAATGGGACTCCTCTGAGAAAAGCAAAAAATCTACCAACACTGCTTTATGATTCTGTTTCCCATCTGGCTTTTTCAACAATACATTAGACATTTTAAAAGGCAAACCATATTTACTGGATTTCAAAAGCCATTACAATATGGGAAGAGTTGTTTTTAATTCCAGAACTGAAAAGACATCATCACTTAACTAAAGCAAACTAAACAATATATTAAAAATGTGTGTGAATGAATAGGGCTCATGTATGTTTGTTCTGTATGCACATTTATAAAGATTTTCGGTAACACTTTAGAATAATGGTCCGTTGTTAACAAGTAACTATGCAGGACGTAATAGGTAGAACTACATTAACACTTAACTTAATACTATTAACTAAAAGAGAAGCAAGATTAACTAAGCAGTAAGTAATACGTGATTAGTAATTAATTGGTTATTCTTTATTAACTGGTCATAGTTTGCAAGTAGTTCTCAATGAGGATATTTTTATTTAATAATTATCAAATATCTAATAAGGAACTACCTTTGTCCTAAATTTGCTACTACTTACTGCTTAGTTAATCTTGCTTCTCTATTAGTTAATAGTATTAAGTTATGTGTTAATGTAGTACTACCTATTACTTCCTGCATAGTTACTTGTTAACAACGGACCATTATTCTAAAGTGTTACCAGATTTTCAGTTGTCTCACAAACCTTCACAATGTCATTGATCAGTGAGTATCGAAACATCCAGTCCAGGTTGATGCTCTCATTTTCAAGGATGTCCTGTGAAAGAACAAACTGGAATTCAACACTGCAAAACATCTAAATACACAGAAGTTCTTTTCATACAAGCATATTATATTATACGGTAACACTTTATTTTAGGGTCTCTTAACTAGTTGCTTATTAGCATGCATATTACTAGAATATTAGCCATTTATTAGTACAAATTAAGCACATATTAATGCCTTATTCTACATGACCTTATTCTACATCTCTAATCCTACCCAATACCTAAACTTAACAACTATCTTACTAACTATTAATAAGCAGCAAATTAGGAATTTATTGAGGGAAAAGTCGTAGTTAATAGGGAATAAGTGTTCCCCATTCTAAAGTGTTACCTATTATACATATATAAAACAAATAAATTGTGATGGAATTCTGTATAAAACTGCCAAACAAGACTTTAAAACAAATGTAGTATGATCATTACCATAAACAAGGTCATTAATATGGAAATGAAGGAACTGCAATAACATCATAATAGAGACAAATGTACAGTTGCCAACTACTTCCCAGAGATGGGAAAAACAAAATGCATTGTAATATTAGCAATACAAATGTTTTTTAAACAATTCACACTGACTGCAATCAAAAAATAATACGAATAAATTATTAACAATCATTTTATTGGTTAATGATGTTAATGGTTAACAAAAAAAGTCATTTTAAGCATAAACTTGAGAGTGTTTACCTGGAGACTTCCCCTGGGGCAATACTCTGTCACAATGCAGATGTTTGGTGGATCGATACAAGCGCCAATAAACCTTGTCAAATGGTTGAACTGCACATCTCTCATCTATTAGTAACAACAAAATGAGTTTTGAATTATAATCTGTAAAATGCTGACAGTTAGTATGACTTTCACTTATTCTGAAAATCTCAGTGACCAATAAAATAAAGCTAACAATAAAATAAAATAATACATTTAAAAATCATTAAAAATGTTTTTTCTAGTTTCCCCAAGGTTTTTATTTAATTTTTTTTTTTTCTTCAGACCATGTCTACAACAGCGTGGCAAAACATTTACATTATGGAGCTACAGTGAGTGGCAAAATCTGTATAAGGTCATGTAAACTTTACTTCCCACAACCTCTGACCTCCATAACACTGAGGGCAAATGTCAGTGAGAGCGAAGAAGGAAATTTCCACTGCCCCATTTTTACCCCCCACCCCCATTTGTCTTTGTCTGGCCCTTTATTTCACTTTGTCCCAACAGCTAATCAGGCTGCCAGGGCCACGGTCTGCAGGGATGACTCTTCAGGGACAACTGCTGTTTTACCAGCACCAAGCCATGCAGCCCCTCGCATTTCCCATCAAAGCTGGCCACGAAGCTGGTCTTATCAGCTTTCCCTCAGAATAAGAATTCCCTCGTCATAATAAACGTAGGCTTCAAATAAGCCTGTTATGGGAAGCATGGACTCACTGCATGTTTTGGGGTTTTTTTAGGCTCAGACTCAATCACGGTGGTCTCAGATAGACAGAGAGAACAGATTTGGCCTATGAACAGAATAGCATACTACAATATCATTCCTACTATTTCGGCTTTGTACAAACTGTACATAGAGTGTGAATTTTCTACATGCACAGAATACCCTAGATGTCCAAAAAGTATATAACAGAGCCCTGTTACAGAGTATTGAGAACACTGTACCCCACAATGCAATGTACTCGACTTCGTTTTGACCTTCCATATCCAATGTGACAAAAGAACTGTAGCCAATTTCAACAATGATTTGGTTCGTGATGTTTTGTGGGGGCTGTGTTGTTTATCAGAAAATAGCTTTAAATTGGACAATTACATATTATTTATAATTCTTTTAATAGTTATACATTATTATGTTATGTTCTGTATGTTGTTTAACTTGATATGGCATTTTAAAAACACTTGTGGTGGAAGTTGAGGCCAAAGATATCCGTGTGAATGAGTGTAGCAGTGATGCTTTAAAGAGGATGAATTAAAAAAGAACATACATTTAAAAAACAGAATAACTAATTGCTAAAGCCATAAAAAAATTGGTGGGTGGGGGAGGGGCATACAAATAAATATCACAATTATAGACTAAGTGGCTGTTGGACTAGTTGAAGACTATGACCAATCCCTAGTTACTGCACATTATTCCATTATTCAGATTTTTTTTAAAAAAAGAAAAAAAAAAGGTCTTTCACTTTGTTTCTTCAACATCCATTTCATGACAATGTTCCATGTCTGAAGTCAGTATATCCTTTCCAAAACACCTTGTAAAAACTCAAAATCCAAGGCTGTCAAGTGGGGTCATAAACAATGGTCTAAACACGTACATAATATTCATACCTTCCCAAACACAGACACATTTGTATACAAACACAAATTGAACAAAAAGACGTACGCAGAACCTATCTCATGATTTAAGATATTCTCTTACATGCTTTAGTTCAAACAGCACTTGTCTGGTCAGCTCGATCCTCTTCTTGTTCACATGTTTGATAGCCACCAGGTTGCCCTGTTGTGAAAGGAAACAAGTGTTAAAGATAATCAGATCTGAAAGGTAACGACAGACTGCCATGATGGAAAATTTATATCATTTTTATCTTCTTATAGCCTTATAGCTGGATAAATTAACATCTCAAAAACATTATTGCTCAGAGAGGTGCTCTTTCATAGCTCATGAGACAAAATGAAGTTTTAAGTCATTTAAGTAGTTATGTAATTGATTTATTTTTGCATTTTAGAGACAACATTTGAAGCAAAGTTACTTGAATGAAACGGAGAACTCCTTTAAGGCTCCTGAGCTATAAAATAACCTTGGAGCAATACAAATTTGCCGCTGTGTATGTGAACAAAGTAAAAATTATCTCTTTGACAGTCTATACTGATACTGAAATAATGGCATGCAAATCAATGAATTTGATCATTTGCTTTGTCATTGTCAGTGGCCACAGTGACAGCAGAAATATTCAGCTGGCTCAGTGGACATCGGATGCCTCAGTGTCCTTTTTAGCTTACACTGTGGGACAAAGAGGTGAGAGTGACTTTTTTGTTTAGTCAATATACATAAATATTCCACCTTTTCTCAAGTTTTACTTGGCAATAATGACAGGCTGATTGTGCATTGTGACTTACTTAAGTAATATTATTTAACATTGTTTAATGTATTAACATTAACTAACAATGAGAAATATATATTTGTTACAGTATATACCGGTACTAAGCAAAGGATAATAGGTACAGGAAGGTGCATAATAATTGGTACAATAAGGTACAGTCATACCACATATTACACAGCTTTTCACCACATAAATAATTACACTCTCTCATTTCATTCAAATGTAACTGCTATCATCTTGCACATCATTTATTGACTGTATTTATTGTAAAATTAAACCAAAGGACTTCAGTATTAATAGTAGGTCTGTGGTAATATTGTTGAAGTGTTCGTCTTGTTGCCAGAACTGTTTTTCTTTGCATAAGCTTTGCATTTAAAGAGCTAATAAAATATTTCAAATCAATATTTTGTGTATAATTATTTACTTATGTAGCTGTGTAATAGGTGTGAAAATGTACATTCAGCCGGTTGTTCTCACGGAACAAACCCTTCAGGGCTGGATGTACATTATCCCTTACTTATACTAAATAATTATATTATTATATATTTGAGTTTATAATATGCTATAATATAATATATAATAAATTATATTATTGGAATAACAAAGGTGTCATGAAGCTTAATTACAAAAAAATCTATAATTAATACACCTGCACGCTGTAAAATCTTTTTCCTCCAGCTTACGTTATTGCCATTTTAACATTTGTGATCCAATTACCGTGGCATAGCACACCTAGCACTGTGGATTGACTTTAGGAGCTGCAAAGCTGCATTAAACTGTGATCTCAAAGCAACACATTGAGTTGGTAGTGCACCCACTCTCCATTTCTCCAGTGAATACACATGTGTGTGGATGTGCAGCAGAGGGAGGATGTCAGAAGAACTCTGCAGAAGAACCGCACCTTAAAATAGCCTGTTTTTGCAAATAGCTGATATTTTCCATGAGCTGTTATCAAGGAGCCATAGCTGGAACCTCTCTGCAAAGGAAATACAGAGAGAATGCAATACTAGGAAGCATTTAAGACAAAGTAGTTTCATTATGCACATCAGAAAAGAAAACATTTATATAGTGGGGTCCAAAAGTTATTTAGACTTGATACAATATTGTGTATTGCAAATTATATTATCAGCATAGCATTTGAAAAATGTGTGAAAAGCTTCATTTTGTTCAAATTTAATTGTTAAATTTAACAAATTACCTCCTTTTGTATACTGCTCACATGGTCAGTGTCACCGTTTGTCACCAATTTGATTATCTATCCATGGCTATCTATGACTATCTAAAAAGAGTTAATAATTTTTAATAACTTTACTAATAATTTTATTGAAAATAATTTTAATAATAATTTTCCGTCATTTTAGAACAAAGCTTAATTTAAATGTACATTTTACTTCCAGGTTTAATTTTAAAAATCCAGGATTTTCAAAGTGGTACTTCTGAAGTCTAATATACTTTTAGTTGACTACAAGATACAAGAAAGATATCTGAAGGTGCATTTTAATGCTTCACACTAAATGTTTTTTCCAAAGACTCTGAAAACTGACATTAGCTTAACTGAGTCAAAGTGGCACTTATTAATATACAGAGTAAAAAAAAGAAACATTTAAGAGTTAGAAATTATTGAAGGATGAGAAGAAAGACATTAAAAGCCTCATTTAAGTAACATCAAGGGAGTAGAATGAATCATACATTCAGTCTAACGATGTGGAACAAACTGGAATGGATTCCAAAATGTGTAATACTGTATACGGTGGCCTGGAAAATGCATTGGCCTTCAAAACGCATGTTCCAAGTATGAGGCCAAAAGAACATGTAAATGTGTTCGTGTGTGCATGTGTGTGTGTTTACTAGGAAAACAATAAGTCTGCTAATAATCCACAGCAGATCATGATACATGTGTTTTAAATAGGAGAACAGGCAGTCCAACTGGAGCTTATTTGAACAATTGTTTAATATGGGTCTGCTACTGTAAACCTGAAGAATGTGTAATGTGTCAAGAATGTGTATAAAAAAATATACATTATAAAGATTTTGATAATTTCTGTTCATTTCTGTCTAGTTTATACCATTTATCTTATATAAATTCAGTGAAAAATTAAAGGGTATTCAACCCATTTTGTTTTGGCTTTCGAATGTAAATAGGAGCAAAACCTGTGAGCTTGTTATGAATTAGTTTATTCTTTATTTTAAAGAGAAAGAGAATTCAGATGAACTAAATCAGGCTACCTTTTGCGACTAACTAACTGACTAAGCCTTCATTGCAATTCCCAATGAATGCCGTTTTAAATGGACATGGCAAAACAGTGCCAGGAATTACAGCCAAGTCCAAAAAGGCATTTTTATGAGATAAATTAAAACCATATGGACATGGGCTGAAACAGGAGGAAACCTCTTTTATTCGACGTTGTTTATACAAAAACAGAAACTCAAAGACATTTCGTCCTTTGAATATTTTACATTTAATCCTTGTACATTTAAAATGAATTTTATATCTGGTTTAGAGGTGGCCAACTGGAAAACATATCCAAACTGGCAACACTTTATCCAAAATACGAGAATACCAGAGAGCACTTGTACCTGGGAAAGAGTGAGACGGCTGCCTGCGCGTTTGTGATATTTGTTGGGACTTTCAAACTGCAGTTCCTCCCACCGTATCCTCCAAAGCATCCCAGCTAACTCCTTCTCCAACTTCAGTTTCCTAGAAAAGAGCAGATCGGTTTAAAGCAATGAACGACCAGTGCAAATAGAAAAACATGTTTCAGCAACATTAGATGCTGAACTAGATTTTTACATTTTCCACTGTGTTATGTGGTCACCAAAGTGTTCAGAGTGGTTGCTAAGGCATTGCTAGGTGGCTGCTAGAGTGTTCTTGATGGTTGTTTATGCTTAATGGTTGTGTCTCATGCTAAAAGATTCCACTCTTAGGTCTGTATGATATTATGGTCTCAAGATGTGGTTCGAATCCTTCCCTTAATATCTATGGGATTTGTGTGTGCGTGTGTGTGTGTGTGTGTGTGTGCGAGTTTTTGTGACAAATGAGGACATAAATTTGTATAATGACAAGGGTATGACATAGGTATTACAAGGAGAAGGTGACTTTTCAGGACATTACCCCATGTCCCCACTTTTCAAAACACATATAAATCAGAATAAAACAGAATGGAGTGTATTGAAAATCTGAAATAGCACAAAGTTTCCTGTGAGGGGTAGGTTTAGGGGTAGGGTTGGTGTAGGCCAATAGAATATACGGTCTGTACAGTAGAAAAACCATTACGCCTATGGGATGTCCCCACTTTTGTCCCCAACAAACCTGTGTGTGTGTGTGTGTGTGTGTGTGTGTGTGTGTGTGTGTGTGTGTCATTATAAGCTGCTGGATTTGAGATTTTGGATCTCATTTGTATATCATAAACAGTGCAGGATGAGTGACAGGCAGAATTTTAATGCTTTGAGTTAGGGGTTTTGAAAAAGTATAGTAAGAGTGATATGTGCCTTTGCAAGCACCATGAAAATGTTTTCGAAATACCATTTCATTTCACACAATTAGTTTAAATAACCCTTTTACACTAAAAGTTCATGTAAGATAAAACTAAGGTGGAAACAATTTTTGCAGCAGACTGAGTTGAAGTTTGATGGGGCGATACAATGTGAGCCAATCTTAGGGTCACTTATGGCGTGCCCTTTTCAGCATATTATTTTTAAACGCAAGTAAACCAAGCAGTCCAGCCAGCCATGTGGATAAATACATGGGGGAACTTCCAAGTGAATCAACACATCTGGAGGAGCTCTCTGAGGACCTGTTATTTCTCAACAGCTTCTATTCACAGCAAAGATTGCTTTTTTAATTACAAATCAATCTCTGAATGTTTCACGGATGTGGTCTGAGAGTTGCGATAGTAGGATATCAATGAAGAGAATCGTAATTAAGTTTCAGAGCACTCAAAACAAAGTACAAGAAAATAAAGCAACCCCCACACATTCCACTACAATCTGAAAGGTGTAAAACACTTCCAGATGGCAGAGTGTAAGTACTGCAGCGTCTGCATTTCAACAGGGCTTTACTCGATTTAAGAGCCACCCTGGTAAGCCCCAAAACAAGCACCTATATTTGTTTTTGTAGACCAGATTTTGGAGGCAAAGAGGTGGAAAAAACCTCGGTAGGATCTTTATATTAAAGAGCCAGGTTCAAAGATTGATGCTCAGCTGTTTGCCAAAAGGAAAATCCTTGTTCTAAAATGCTGAAATTCAATGAAGCGTCAATTCAGGGAACGTCATAGATTGGAAACTGTTTGGATGAGTGGCAAGAAATAGTTGGTTTTACAGCACAGCAATAGAAATATCCTGAATAAACCATACAATAAACTATACAATAACCATACAATAAAGTGCTTCATATTTGAGTGGTTAGAGTGTGTGTAGCTTTTATGAATATTACGTTTTTCTACCAAGGCTGAGATTCTGAAAGTGGCTAGAGCAGAGATCGAGTCAGGAGAAATGTATATGGCGATTGACGTCACAGCGTTTCCACGTGAGATTACTGAAAAGCGTACAAAGGACTATGTGGACAGTTTTTCTGAATCAAGTTTTCACCGTCTCCCTCCCATTAAAGCAGAGCCTGACTCCCATGATCACGAACAGTTCATGATCCTACCTGCACTGTCCACCACGGCTGCCACTAGCCATGCTCAACGAGGTGGTGTCAGCAAAGCTTGGAGGTTACTTACCTGGGCTCTCTTTCCAGGACACAGCGCAGGGTGTGGCACCTATTGTCAACAAACTTCCAAGACCTCCTAACCTCCAAGAGAAGCGGATGTCCCAAGGGTTCCAATACAAGCTTCAGTTCCAGGTACCATTTCCTCCATTCACATTTTTCACAAAAAATGTATGTAGGTCTACATGCGCAATGACCCAAGTTTCACATTCCACTTACCTACAACTGCTCCTGTAAAGCCTAAAATCTCAGTGAAAAGAGGTGGACCACTGAAAAACGTAATCTCTACTCACAAAAAAGCTCTACCAATTACCGATTCACCAAACAGTAAGCCTGATATCAATAGACAATGCCTCATTCAAAAAAAAAAAAAAAAACATCCCTTCAAACATTCCAGAGCCTTCAGAGCTAAGAGTATTGAGGAACGGAAAAAGTTTTGAAGGAGCATATTATCTGATTTAGATGTTGTTCTTCCAATGAACATGTGGCCAAAGACTGTGATGTTAGCATACAGTGCACAGAGTGTGGCAGCAACAAACGTGTCACAGCCCTTCATCCTGGACCACCTCCATGGACACTAAAAACACCCAACACAGAGCATGGCGGTGAGAAAGAAAGTGCAAACCCTTCTATTATCTCTAAATGCACAGAAGTCTGTGGAGATACTAATACTTTATGGTCCTGTTCAAATATCTCTAAATGCACAGAGGTCTGTGGAGATATTAATAGTTTATGGGCCTGTTCAAAAATCTGCCTCATCAGAGTTCACCCCAAAGGAGAGCCAGACAAATCACTGAACGTCTGTGCTATTCTTAACAATCAAAGTAATCGTTCACTTGATAGATCTGAGTTTTTCGCATGTGCGTCGGAGTCGCAGAAATGTCTAGGAGGCGAGCTATGGACTTCATCGCACACCCTCTAGATGGCAGTCTTTCAGTCCCACTCCCCACGCTCATTGAGTGCCACTAAATGCCTGAGGACAGGTCAGAGATACCCACTCCTGACGCAGCAAAACACCAACCACAACTCAAACCTATTGCTCATCTCATAGATAGATGAGATAATAATCTTTAATATATCGTCTCACATAGGAGGAGCATGGGCGAGTATGATTGGACTTTCAAGATGAATTTTGGACTCCATGCTTCCTCAGATCAGCTCCTCGCATCTGAATCACGAAATGTTCTCAACTCAAATGGCTAAAGTGTGTGCCGTTATCAATGCAAGACCTCTAGTATCCATTCCCTTCTCCTCACTCCACTTCTTACATCATAAGAAGAATGGCATCTATGCTAATATTAGTCTGTTTCTTTCTTATTCTCGAGGTCACTGAAGCCACCAGATCCAGTCCTATCCAGCCCAGATGGTCACTGCAGTCACCCGGATCCAGTCTGTATCCAGCCCAGATGGTGGATCAACACCTAGAGACGACCTCTACTGCCCTGAATTTCATCGGAGACCAGGACAACTAGATGAGCCCCAGAGACAGATCCCCAGTGAAGACCTTGTCTCCTAGACGGCCATCGGGACAAGATAGATAGATAGATAGATAGATAATTTTATTTGTCCTCAGAGAGGAAATTAATTTTCACAGAAGGTGCGTATACAACACAAGGACAAGTACCCATTATGCACAAACTTGTCACAATACATTCACGAAAAAAATAAAAAATTACAAGAGTGCAAGACGATGGCTAATTTCCTATGTGTTTAAAGCACGTATTGCTGTAGGAACAAAACTCTTACTAAAGTTAGTCCTCCTACACATAGGTAGTCTATACCTACGGCCAGATGGGAGAGGGATAAAATACCGATGGAGTGGGTGATCTGGGTCAGATCATGGAACCAGATGAGCCCTCTGCACAATCTAACTTTGCTACAGCATGGATCAACCTGCTGATTCGTCTGGCTGGAGAACTGGCCCCCCGACTGAGCCTGGTTTCTCCCAAGGTTTTTATTGAGTGTTTGCTATTGTCATTTTGCATTGACAAACTATTTTCCTATTTGATACTGTAAAGCTGCTTTGGCACAATCTGTACTGTTAAAAGCGCTATATAAATAAAGGTGACTTGACTTGACTTGACTCCATCAATGATCCTCTGCCAAAAGGTGTGTACCCCAGGACCCTTTGAGGGCACTGACCTATATTGGAAACAGTGGAAAAGAGTGCAGAATCTTGCCAGCATATTTTGGGAAAGGTGGAGACGAGAATACCTTGCATCCCTCCAGCCTCGTAAGAAATGGCAAGACAACAAACCCAATATCAAAGAAGGAGACCTGGTCATTTTGAAAGATGATCAGGTGAAAAAGAATGAATGGTCAATGGCTCTGGTCACCAAAGCTATCTCTGACTCAGATGGCAAAGTCAGAAAACTGGAACTGAAAGTCACTAAGTGTCACACACACTGGGAGTGCAGGAACGAGCGAGGAGACGAGGAATAAAGTAAATCAAAAAGGTTTTAATGAAGGCACGCTGGGGATCACAGGACAGGAGACATCAGGTAAACCAAAATGACACTTAACAGCAGACAGAGAACTAGGAACTGAGAGCACTTTAAATACACAGACACCAATGGAACACACCTGGGAGCAAATTAACTAATTAATCAAAACACAACTGGAGACGAATACACACAATGAGGACAGGAACAGGAAGGACCAAATACCAAGGAAGGCACATGAGGAGCAAAACACACACAAAACACGGACCAGAGTCTCTGACATAACTCCCCGTGCCGTACAACATCCAATGGGGAGGGCACTCTGGAGGCCTCTAGGAGTAGGGTTACCAGACGGAAGGCCTCCAGGGCGGCGCCCGTTCCGGGATCCATGGTGGATCTGGCAGTTCGGGGCGCCATGGCTGATCTGGCAGTTCGGAGCGCCATGGCAGATCAGGTGACTCAGGAGGCCATGGCAAAGCAGCCTCCGAGGCCGCGGCCCCAGCCCCCGCCCCGGCCTCTACGGCTGGAGCCCTACTGTCCCCCCCAAAA